TTTATTCTTTTCCTCTATTTTCTTTCTTTCTCTTTTTCACTATTCTAAAAAAAATAATACAAATAAAATAAAAAATAATATTTAAAAGGAATAGTTAAAAATATAGAAAATCTGTTAGAGTGTATATTAAAAAAATGAGTAACTAAAATAAAAAATGTTGGTTATGTTTGGTTTGTGTTCCGGAAACAATTTTTTGTTCTCAAAATTTCAAAAACACCAAAAACCTATTTGTTTAGTATGTTTGTTCTCTAAATTTTGGGAAAAAAAAATAAGATTTGAGTCAAAGAAACAGAAAATAAGTGTAGCTTGTTTTCTGAATTTTCTTTGAAAATTTTAGAAACAAGGAGAACAATTTTGAATCTTAAAATATATTATAATATATATATAATATAAAGAATATATATATTTCATATATAAAAATAATTTTTTAATATTTTTTTATTAATGTTTGAATTACTGTTCAAATATATATTTAGGTTGTTCAAACAGATTTTACTATTTTCTGTATTGTAAAATTATTTAACTAAACAAGTTTTTTATCTTAAAAAATATAAAAACNTGGCTACAGTAACCTGATCGAATTTAGAACATGCTTCTTGAAAAATGTTTAGATTTGTGTCGATTACTCCTTCAAGTTTGAATATTAGCCACAATAATCTGATCAAATTTAGAACATACTCCCTGAAAAACAAAAATAATTGACCCGTAAGAGCATCTCCAACATATGAGTTAAATGATACAAAATCTTGAAATTTTTGCTATTTAATCCAAAAGTTTCATTCAAACGGCTTATATTTAAAATATCTAAAACAATATTTTGTTATAGTTATACTCTACATTTAGAGTATTATTGTAGCGATATGTAAAAAAAATTTATTCTTTTCCTCTATTTTCTTTCTTTCTCTTTTTCACTATTCTAAAAAAAATAATACAAATAAAATAAAAAATAATATTTAAAAGGAATAGTTAAAAATATAGAAAATCTGTTAGAGTGTATATTAAAAAAATGAGTAACTAAAATAAAAAATGTTGGTTATGTTTGGTTTGTGTTCCGGAAACAATTTTTTGTTCTCAAAATTTCAAAAACACCAAAAACCTATTTGTTTAGTATGTTTGTTCTCTAAATTTTGGGAAAAAAAAATAAGATTTGAGTCAAAGAAACAGAAAATAAGTGTAGCTTGTTTTCTGAATTTTCTTTGAAAATTTTAGAAACAAGGAGAACAATTTTGAATCTTAAAATATATTATAATATATATATAATATAAAGAATATATATATTTCATATATAAAAATAATTTTTTAATATTTTTTTATTAATGTTTGAATTACTGTTCAAATATATATTTAGGTTGTTCAAACAGATTTTACTATTTTCTGTATTGTAAAATTATTTAACTAAACAAGTTTTTTATCTTAAAAAATATAAAAACCACATTTTTAAAACTATTCTCAAAAACTGTTTTCGAATACTATTTTTTGAAACGTAAATCAAATAGGCCCGTTATTTTTTGAGTAACTAAAATAATTTTTATTGTTAAAAATGTTGCAAGAGGTATACAAATTATTGAACTTAATAGTATTAACTTATTTACGTGTCGGACTCAACTACAAAACGAAGCTTTTAAGTTAACGGCGTTAAGAGTTGAGGCAATCTATATAGGCTTTGTAGCTTTCGCCAAATGTCCAATTACTTACAACAGTGTTGCCGGCTTCATTTCCATCTTTTCGCTTAACTGCCAGAAAGAGACTTGCATACGCCACTCATACCGAAAAACAACAACGAGCAGTATAATCCACCACCCAAAAATATTTTTTTGGCATCTTCATTTTATTTTTCATTGAATAAAAATATATTACGTGTAAAAAAAAATTAAATTTATTTTTCAATCAATAATTAAAAATTATACAAATTACAATTTATTTATTATTTTGGATCAATCTTAATTAAATCCAAAAATCAACTTCTTACTGCTGGACTCCCCGTGCAAGCATATCTATGCAAAGTTTTTTTTGGACAAGGAGGAGAAATTTTTGGCCTGTTTTCGGTGAGTAGATGTGTACTTATATATTGTTCAAGCTCGTGAATTTGAATAGAACATGTGGCAAATTTTAGGTACACGAATCGGTTCTTCAACTCATACATCAGTTAAATCAAGACTTGCGTTTTGGTGAGAATTTGAACTCACATCAAAGACTTGAATACGATTCCTCTAAGTAATGGAGGTCTGTCTTACTAATTAATTATTTTTTTGTCGCCTAGAGAACTTGAATTATATCCCTCAAGAAAATAAAATTTTCACAAGAGAAGAAACACCGTTAGACCAAAATTCCGCTAATTATCTGTGCAAAGTTGCCTCTCAAGCAAAGCAATAACCCCACAACTTTTCAAAATTGTTGGAGAGCCCCACCCACGCGTGTGGAGCCCAGGACATTGATTTGGAGGTTGTCGATCATGATACAAGTAACCACACGCAAAGTACAAAATTGATGTTCATGTCATTATGTGTGGTGTTGGGGGTCAAAATTAAATGAACTATTCCCATCATAACTTGGTCCACCTTTGCCAAACATCCCATGTGACCACTTTTTTTTTTTTCCTCTTTTCCAAGATGCCAAAATAAGACCTACTAATTGACCATTTCTTTTTCTTTTTTTTTTTCTTTGGGTGGGTTGGGTTGGGTTAGGTTGGCGGGGGTTGTTTGGAATTGTATCCTAAAAATTTAATTTTTTTATATTTGTATTTTTGATGTATTAAAAATATTACAATTTGTTATTTGAGTTAGTTTTCGTAACTCATTTTTCAAAAATTACAATATTGACATTGATTGAATGAATAACGAAAATTAACTAAAACATATATATTGTAATAATTTTAATATAGTAAGGGTATAATATGATAATTTTAATCTTTAAGAGTATAAAATAAAATATTTTAAATCTTTTAGGGTAGAAAGCATAATTCATGCTTTTTTTGTGCCCATGAAATTTGGCACAAAGAAATGATTAGGTCATTGAAGACCACAAGTCTTCTGGTAGTACCCTCGACATTTGACTTATAATGGAATTTTCAACTCTAAAAATGTAAAAGAAATAATTTTTATCAATTTTGATTTATTTTAAATTATTTGTAAATGAATTTATTGGAATTTTTATGTAATTCAACTCCAAAAATGTCATTCAACGGATTATTTATAAATGAATTTTTATTATTACATTATGAGTTTGCATGTAATATTTTTGATTTGATGGCTTGATTATTCCGTGTGAATCTATTTATTTTTTTCTTTGGTTTTTTTTTTAGTAATTTGGTTATGTAATTTATCAGATTGTTGAAATGTGATGACAAAAATACCGAGCGATTCGTTTAATGAGTAAGAGCTTGAATTTTTTTTTTCAATATTTGGGTTCAAATCATTGTAACTACAGTAATTCCGTGGGATTAAACCTATTTTTTAATAACCAAAACAAGCGGTGAGACTTTTGTTTTGACTAGTGTGGGAAGAGTTTCTCATAGATAATTATATAATACTGAAAAATAATATATTTGTATAAATATGAGGAGTAATTTATTACATAATGTAAAAAACTTAAAAAAAAAAAGGTGGTGGCAACACGATAAAAAGGTACACGTTACATCCCAATTTAAATAAATAATAATTAATAATTTACTAATTAAATTAACCGCAAAATAAAAGACCCCTGTCCGTTATCGGATCTCCAAAATCCAATCACATCACGAAAATCGCACCCACGCTCCGGCTCTCCCTCCCAACAGGAGAAAAACAGAGAAAGTGAGAGAGAGTACCTGCACACACCGCTGTACATATAGAGAGAGAAAGTAGAGAGAGAGAGAGANTCTTTTCCAAGATGCCAAAATAAGACCTACTAATTGACCATTTCTTTTTCTTTTTTTTTTTCTTTGGGTGGGTTGGGTTGGGTTAGGTTGGCGGGGGTTGTTTGGAATTGTATCCTAAAAATTTAATTTTTTTATATTTGTATTTTTGATGTATTAAAAATATTACAATTTGTTATTTGAGTTAGTTTTCGTAACTCATTTTTCAAAAATTACAATATTGACATTGATTGAATGAATAACGAAAATTAACTAAAACATATATATTGTAATAATTTTAATATAGTAAGGGTATAATATGATAATTTTAATCTTTAAGAGTATAAAATAAAATATTTTAAATCTTTTAGGGTAGAAAGCATAATTCATGCTTTTTTTGTGCCCATGAAATTTGGCACAAAGAAATGATTAGGTCATTGAAGACCACAAGTCTTCTGGTAGTACCCTCAACATTTGACTTATAATGGAATTTTCAACTCTAAAAATGTAAAAGAAATAATTTTTATCAATTTTGATTTATTTTAAATTATTTGTAAATGAATTTATTGGAATTTTTATGTAATTCAACTCCAAAAATGTCATTCAACGGATTATTTATAAATGAATTTTTATTATTACATTATGAGTTTGCATGTAATATTTTTGATTTGATGGCTTGATTATTCCGTGTGAATCTATTTATTTTTTTCTTTGGTTTTTTTTTTAGTAATTTGGTTATGTAATTTATCAGATTGTTGAAATGTGATGACAAAAATACCGAGCGATTCGTTTAATGAGTAAGAGCTTGAATTTTTTTTTTCAATATTTGGGTTCAAATCATTGTAACTACAGTAATTCCGTGGGATTAAACCTATTTTTTAATAACCAAAACAAGCGGTGAGACTTTTGTTTTGACTAGTGTGGGAAGAGTTTCTCATAGATAATTATATAATACTGAAAAATAATATATTTGTATAAATATGAGGAGTAATTTATTACATAATGTAAAAAACTTAAAAAAAAAAAGGTGGTGGCAACACGATAAAAAGGTACACGTTACATCCCAATTTAAATAAATAATAATTAATAATTTACTAATTAAATTAACCGCAAAATAAAAGACCCCTGTCCGTTATCGGATCTCCAAAATCCAATCACATCACGAAAATCGCACCCACGCTCCGGCTCTCCCTCCCAACAGGAGAAAAACAGAGAAAGTGAGAGAGAGTACCTGCACACACCGCTGTACATATAGAGAGAGAAAGTAGAGAGAGAGAGAGACGAACAACTGCTTGAGCTCCCCCCAGACTCTCTCATGGTGTTCTTGTTGCAGAGCAGATCTTGATACCCTTGCTCTTCTTCCACGAACTATTTCGCTAGTTTCCTTCAAGAACCGACCGTCATTCGTGTTTTTCTTTCAAGAAAACTGTTGCCGAACGAAGAAGCCGTTGGTTTGATCCGGATTTGACATATTTTCGTGCAGTTTTCGACGAAGCATTATATGAGTTTTCTATCTCTTCTGTGGTTCAAATCAGTTCTTGCTGGTTCTAATTGGTTTTTTGGCATCTGGTGCTGTAGTTTGGTTGAGATTCGTAAGAGTGGTGGAGGTGGATAGAATGAGAGTGTTTTCGGAAGGTTATTAGTGTTGATTTTTCGGAATTTGGATATGGATGATAGAGGTGGATCGTTTGTGGCTGTACGGAGGATTTCGCAAGGGTTTGAGAGAGGCAACACCAGCACTACCTGCCATTCAACTTCTGGTAGTTATTCCTTTGAACTCCTCATTGTTTACCTAGCTTACTCCTAATTATTTTCACCTCCCTCGCATTTTTCTTCTCTATTTCTATCTCAGGAGTGAATTGTAGAAGTTTGGATCTGTGAATTGAATTTAAATTTATACTTCATGCCTACTTGCATTGACATTTGTGGTGAGTCAGCTGTTGTTATAATTTTCTCATCGACTTTTTGTTTTCTTAATCACTTTCTGTCACGTACACACATTTTTCTTTTTGTTTGTGTGTATATGTGTATTCATATGCGTATATATGTGTACGGTTTCTCCATACAGTGAGATCTTTAGTCATTCACACAACATAACTGTATACTGGCGGCAATTAGACTTTGCCAATATTTGAGGCCTTTAACTTTGGGACCATAGGCCTCCCCCGTGGGTCGTACCTAATGTTTGAGTTTTGGCTATAAATTTGGAACTTCAGGACACGTGAGTTCAGTTACCTTTAAGATGCAGGCAGAGTTATAAAAGCAATGTCCTTGTCTTTGTATGGATTGATGGAGATAGGCTTTTGGATTGCCTTGTATGCTTGCTAGACTTGTAGAATTTCCTTGAAAAACCTATCATATAAATATGAAATTGTCAAAAATTGGGTCGTTCTTTGTGTAAGGTTTTCATAATCGTTTCACAGTTTATCATTTTACCTTCATCCATGAATGTCAAAGTGTTTTTGTTCGAAGAACTCATTTGCTCTAGAAAATCATATGAAGGTTATGGTGCTTCATTTTTATTTTATATTAACTTCCTCTGATGACACTTGGATGTCAAGATAAATCGCGTTTTTAAGATATAAGAACTCCATTTTATGTGGCCAATGGTTTTGTTTTGTTACAGCGGAGGTTGTTGCAGGATCAGCAGCGTGGCTTGGCAGAGGCCTTTCATGTGTTTGTGCACAAAGAAGAGAGAGTGATGCTCGCCTATCATTTGATTTGACCCCTGCCCAGGTAATATCTTTGCGATTGATTGGTGCTAGATTTCTTGTTTACTATCAGGATACTATGTATTGCCCTGAAACCTCTGTTGGCATGAATAAAGTTCAAGCTAGGAGCCATTGTATGAGACTTCATTCTTTGTCCCTCCTTTGTAGTGATTTTTGGACATTCATTAACTCCCTTGATATGGAGATTCGCTTCAAACCGAAAGTTGCCATATCATTTTTTCAACAGAATTAATATTGTTTTGTTTTCATGTGTATAATGCTGACTTCATCCATATGATTTATGAGGATGCATAAATGTTGCACTTATTTCTCCAAGGTCAATATGTTGTATTCTTCATGTTTCCCTGTTTTCCAATATCCATCCCCTATTTGACTTCTTTTTTTTTCTTCACCTGAAATAGTCAAGCTTTTTTGTACCCATTTTTTTCCCCCAATCTTTGCACCATTCTTTTAGTTATGTACACATTCAATGAATCGTTAACCTTTGTAACATTCCAGAAAGGTTTTTGCATTTCAAATGCCTGTGTATCTGAGGCGTGTCATTGTCTGAACATTGTCATGACATTTTTAAAGATTGGTGGTATCAACTATTCGATGGGAATCTTTATCGTTTTATTTATTACTTTATTTTTACTGGCAAACTAGTAATGGTGGCTTTGTGACCAGGAAGCTTTTGCTATCTGTGTGTGTGTCATTTTGTTCTGTGGTTTTTTTTTCTTTGGGGTGGTGAAAGAAGGGGAAATACTGCATGATAGACATTACAAAGAGCAGTACACGGCTAGTGAATCTGATTGATATGGCCTGATTAGGACGCTATTACTGTAACACCATTTGAAGGGTTTAAATTATTCTGAAACAAACATCTAATGGATAGAAAAGACCCTGCAATGAATGTCAAATATAGAAACTAACAATTGTATAGCATTATTATTGTGTGCATTGGTCACCAACCAATCACTGAATTGACAACATAGATCAGAGTATTTTAATTGAGAACATCAGATACCAAGTTGCTATTGTGAATTAATCCAAATCGGATGGATGACAGATAGAGATATGGAAAAATATTGCAGTGAATAAACATTAGAGTGGATGCCTAGGCCTGCATCTTTACAATGATATGGTGACAGATCTGTCCATTGATGAACTGTATTATATCTGTTAAGTTCATCGACAGAATAGATACTCCCAGCATTCAACCACGTGCCCTAGCATAGGCTCCTTTCAGATTTGGTTGGAACAAATTCTATTGCTGTAGTTGGTTCAATCAGGTATTTACGGCCATAGATAGATCAATATGCTAGTAAAACTGCACACATACATGCTTGCATTCATAGTGTACCGGCAATCACTGTATCTGCATCTTTTGAGAACCACCAAAGCACAGAAACTGTGTACTAAATGCTCTCTCATTTTATCTTTTCTGTTTAACTATTTTTTACAGTAATACCTTAATTTATGATGTTTTGTTTGATTTTATTGCTATTAGGAGGAATGCCTACAAAGGCTACAGAACCGTATAGATGTTGCCTATGATAGTTCAATCCTTGAACATCAGGTACACTTCTTGGTTGATATTTGTAACTATTCAAAACTCTTTTACAGTTTAAGGAGTTGAAATCAATGTCTAGATTTGTAATTATTCTGGGTTGTTTACTTGTTTAACTTGTTTGGGGGCTCCATGTATTTGGCTGTTGTTTCCTAGGAAGCATGGACACTTCATTTTGGACAGAGTGTCGGTGTCGAACACGTCTGGGACACGGACACGTTATAATGAGTGTCCGATTTTTTTTATTATTAAATTGTTTTTAGGACACATGACCGATACGTTCAGGACACATTGGGACACGCTGGAGGACACGTTTTGAGATTTATTTTCAATTTTTTTGAGAACTTTTTTGATAATTTTATAATTAAGAGTTATTTTTATAATTTTAAAGGGATATGAGTCACAATCATAATATAAAAAAAGTTATAATCATTACATTGAACATAAGACATGAATTTAATATAATTTTGGATATGAATAAGAATTTATATACAAATGGCATAGTCTTTTAATATGAAAGTAATGTGAGAAAAAATGGGATTACAAAATTGGAGCTCTTGGAATTTGATGAAAGTTAGTAATATGAAATAGAATATTTTTTAAAGTAAAAGTTATAGAAGGCATTAATTATTGAATCATGGATGTTAATGATGAATGTGTATCAGTATATCTTATATTATACTTTTCATGCATTGATATCATGATGTAAATTTTTAGAATTAGGAAAATAATGAATTAAAAGATTATTATATTAATATTTTTATTTTATCACATGATTTTATATAAATATATATATAAAATACATATTATTTAACGTATCACTAATGTGTCCGTGTCCTACTTTTTTGAAAAATTTCGTATCGGCGTGTCCATGTCTCGCCGTATCCGTGTCCGTGCTTCTTAGGTTGTTTCACTAATACTTATAATTATCTGTTGTTGTAGGAAGCTTTGAGGACATTGTGGAATGCTGCCTTTCCTGAAGAACAACTTCGAAGTTTAATATCTGAGCAGTGGAAGGACATGGGTTGGCAGGGAAAAGATCCTTCCACAGACTTTAGGTATATCAGTATTTCCTTTATTTTCTCAAGAGCATTTCTGGGTTTCTGATCAAAATTCTCCCTTATATTTGTTATCCTTAACATAAAGATTTGTCTTGTAGGGGTGGTGGTTTTATATCACTGGAGAACTTGCTGTATTTTGCTAGGAATTTTCCGGTATGAATTTCAAACCATAGTTTGACTTACTCGTTAACAAAAAATTCATCATAGGAAGTGCAAATTCATTGTATTAAGTGAGTAACAACACAGCTATGCAATTATGAGGCCCTTGATGTTTACTATCATTTATTATAAATATTCCAATGAATAAAGATCTCGGTTTGAACTTTGAACATTTCTCCAATAATGTAATGGCCACGTGTGTAATCAACAGTATATTAGACTGGTAATGTGTAGAATCAATGGTATGAATTGTTACTAGAAATCCTATTTTATTTATCCACAAGGTTTTGGATACGTTATGACAAATAAATATGTGCCTTTTTGTTCCTTGTCCTTGTGAGCAAAGGCACATTAATGCTAAACTTGCGTTTGTCTTGATGTGATCTGTCTGAGTCAAATCAAGATATGATGGTTATTCCCCCCTATCTTTGCCTAATGCCTATCTTGTACGTATTCCACTTCTTTGGTACAGAACTCTTATGCATGTACTTGTGTATCGCATTTCAAGTGAACCCAGGAAGCTAAGAGAAAATTATGTTAAGACGGTAAAATGAAAAGCTTATCTCTGTCTTCCTATTATGCTCTGCTACATGTTGTAGCAAGAGTTAAGATAAAATGTTTTTGAAGCATTGAATGTTATAATTTGGATGACTTTTTAAACTAAGGGCCATTCTGGGCCATTTGTGAGGTATGTTAGATTTTATTTATACTTATGTCGGACCTTGTATCTGGTTCCCTAAAACCTGTAACATTTGACCATGACTTGTTTCCAACTGGGGTTTTTGTGTAAGCCCATGTTTTCCTTCTCTACCCGATATTTTTTTTGAGGATTTTGTAAATTCTTGTTATTATTTGTTCTCTAGGGGTCTAGATCCGGAGGTTAAATTTTTTTCTCCTAAATTAACCAATTTTTCCCCCCTGTAGAAATCCTTCCAAGATCTTCTCCGAAAGCAGGAAGGTGATCGAGCCATGTGGGAATACCCATTTGCTGTTGCCGGTGTGAACATCACATTCATGCTTATTCAGATGCTTGATCTTGAAGCAGGTTTTTGTGATATTCTTCTCCACTTCTTGCTACGATTTTGAGTAATCAATTTTAAACTACAACGGAAAGTTCTCATTTTTCTTTTCGTAGCTATCGATACAAAACTTGTATTCTCTGCGACCCTTTCTCTGTAGTTCTTGGTTGGCTTCCTTGGTTGCTTTGCTATTAACTATTGTGCTTGTGGCACTTGCTAAATTTGGACTATTTGGACTTCTTAGGCGACTGTCATCTTCTAACAACAGACATAAAAAAAGAGATGAGTTCCTATTATGCATCCAAATGATTTTCTATCTATTATAAATCCAAACTATAGTCCATCGTGTGTTCACATTGAACTTTTTCTAGTGTTTGAATGCAGTTCTGTTGCGAAAACTAAAGTGGTTGTATAATCACAGAAGGCATTTGATGCTTTTGATTAGCTAATTCTGTACTTCAACTCTGCAGTGAAACCGCGAACAATGGTTGGAGCAACCTTCTTGAAGTTTCTTGCAGGTACTATTTGGCCACAATTTGAGATCTATACATTTTTTCTCTGTAGATGTCAATGAATTATGGTTATACATTTGTTATAAAATATAAAAATACACATTGGTTAACTAGCAGCANAGTTTCTTGCAGGTACTATTTGGCCACAATTTGAGATCTATACATTTTTTCTCTGTAAATGTCAATGAATTATGGTTATACATTTGTTATAAAATATAAAAATACACATTGGTTAACTAGCAGCAGTCCCATGCCAGTTATCCAACCAAAAATATGAATAATTTTTAGGTTCAATGACATTAAACTTGTTTAATGTAAAATGCTGAACAACAAAATATTTAAACATATATAATGACCAAGTGGAGAAAAGTAATTAAATTTCTTAATTCTAATATAATCTCAATCAGAAACTCTGGAACCTGTCTTCAGAATTCTCACTATCCTAAGAGCATAATATATTTCGGTTAGAGAGAAGAAAAATAAGAGAAAAAAAAATTGAGAGAGAAGAAGAGAGAATGGATGATGGAGAGAGAATGCATGGATGGGAAGTTGTGCCAGGGCATGGAAAGTGAGGAGTGGGGAAATTGGGTTGGAGTGGGTAACTGCCTTGAGATAGCAGTTAGATTGTGGAGAAATTTTAAAAAGATCCACGTGTAAGGAATTGATTTAAGAGAATCAAGTTTGTTAAATTAAAAAAAAAATTAAGAATTTATAAAAAAAGAAATTGAGGAGGGAAGGCTTGTCAAGCTTTCTCCCAATACTTGGTGGTACCTGAGCAACACAAACACATGAAAATATATTAGATGCCAAGGAAGTAACAAACATTACAGATGAATTTCGTATCCCACAGTGAAGTTTAGTCCCCAAAACCAAATTAATAGCAGGAATCCTGTAAGTTCTTCACCAAGCACTTACCCTAATAACTCACCATACCATGTACAGATATAGGCCCCAACTTTCACAGACCCAATACCCACCGCAGCCCCTTAAGCGCCCCGTGAAAAAAATATTTTTAGAATTTTTTGGCCCTATGAATAAACCATCTGTTCAGACCACCTAGAATGTAGGCTACGAAAGAATCAAAAAATTCAATATAAAAACAAATTTGATACAAAAATAGAAGTCTGATCGTAAATTTTCAAGCATGGTTGCTTCAGAAATAGTTGAATGATTCCCCAAGGTCAGTAGTATAGCGACTCCACCCTTCCATGCATGTCCTCCAGCTGCTAGGATTTGATGGAGGAACTGAGCAAGTTCACAGCCCCCATAGTCTATCTGTCAACAAATTTCAGGCACAAATCAAAAGACTTACACCAACAAAGGCAAATATACACATAAATTAAGAGAAACTAAAAACTTCCGGTTTAATTGCTTTTTCAGTGACAGTCTTCTTCGTGACCAGGAGGAAGGCGAGTCACAAAATCCAACCTTTTGAAATGGAAACAGTTTGCCATATTGAAATAGGAAGAGGGAGGTAGTGCCTTAGTGGGTCTCAGAATTTTAGTGGTGACAGATAAAGGAGGAGATGTGGGAGAGAATTATGGGAAGTGGGTAAGTAGATGAGTTTATCCTGTTGAGAAGATTTATCCAGTTATGAATTAAATTATCCAAAAATATTGAAAGAGACCAATTGAGTGACAACACTTAAATTTTTTGCAAATTATAAAAATCAATATTTCAAGAAATTAGATTTGAAGGTTTGGAGCCCATCTGGGTCTAATACATTCATATAGTACATAAAGATATGCATTTGTTCATGCAAGTTACTTAATTTGTGGGTTCCAATGTATCTGCCGAGTTGAATGCTTAATGATGCCAAACTACTATTGCTCCATTTGGTTGGNACATTCATATAGTACATAAAGATATGCATTTGTTCATGCAAGTTACTTAATTTGTGGCTTCCAATGCATCTGCCGAGTTGAATGCTTAATGATGCCAAACTACTATTGCTCCATTTGGTTGTNTTGGTTAACTAGCAGCCGTCCCATGCCAGTTATCCAACCAAAAATATGAATAATTTTTAGGTTCAATGACATTAAACTTGTTTAATGTAAAATGCTGAACAACAAAATATTTAAACATATATAATGACCAAGTGGAGAAAAGTAATTAAATTTCTTAATTCTAATATAATCTCAATCAGAAACTCTGGAACCTGTCTTCAGAATTCTCACTATCCTAAGAGCATAATATATTTCGGTTAGAGAGAAGAAAAATAAGAGAAAAAAAAATTAAGAGAGAAGAAGAGAGAATGGATGATGGAGAGAGAATGCATGGATGGGAAGTTGTGCCAGGGCATGGAAAGTGAGGAGTGGGGAAATTGGGTTGGAGTGGGTAACTGCCTTGAGATAGCAGTTAGATTGTGGAGAAATTTTAAAAAGATCCACGTGTAAGGAATTGATTTAAGAGAATCAAGTTTGTTAAATTAAAAAAAAAATTAAGAATTTATAAAAAAAGAAATTGAGGAGGGAAGGCTTGTCAAGCTTTCTCCCAATACTTGGTGGTACCTGAGCAACACAAACACATGAAAATATATTAGATGCCAAGGAAGTAACAAACATTACAGATGAATTTCGTATCCCACAGTGAAGTTTAGTCCCCAAAACCAAATTAATAGCAGGAATCCTGTAAGTTCTTCACCAAGCACTTACCCTAATAACTCACCATACCATGTACAGATATAGGCCCCAACTTTCACAGACCCAATACCCACCGCAGCCCCTTAAGCGCCCCGTGAAAAAAATATTTTTAGAATTTTTTGGCCCTATGAATAAACCATCTGTTCAGACCACCTAGAATGTAGGCTACGAAAGAATCAAAAAATTCTATATAAAAACAAATTTGATACAAAAATAGAAGTCTGATCGTAAATTTTCAAGCATGGTTGCTTCAGAAATAGTTGAATGATTCCCCAAGGTCAGTAGTATAGCGACTCCACCCTTCCATGCATGTCCTCCAGCTGCTAGGATTTGATGGAGGAACTGAGCAAGTTCACAGCCCCCATAGTCTATCTGTCAACAAATTTCAGGCACAAATCAAAAGACTTACACCAACAAAGGCAAATATACACATAAATTAAGAGAAACTAAAAACTTCCGGTTTAATTGCTTTTTCAGTGACAGTCTTCTTCGTGACCAGGAGGAAGGCGAGTCACAAAATCCAACCTTTTGAAATGGAAACAGTTTGCCATATTGAAATAGGAAGAGGGAGGTAGTGCCTTAGTGGGTCTCAGAATTTTAGTGGTGACAGATAAAGGAGGAGATGTGGGAGAGAATTATGGGAAGTGGGTAAGTAGATGAGTTTATCCTGTTGAGAAGATTTATCCAGTTATGAATTAAATTATCCAAAAATATTGAAAGAGACCAATTGAGTGACAACACTTAAATTTTTTGCAAATTATAAAAATCAATATTTCAAGAAATTAGATTTGAAGGTTTGGAGCCCATCTGGGTCTAATACATTCATATAGTACATAAAGATATGCATTTGTTCATGCAAGTTACTTAATTTGTGGCTTCCAATGCATCTGCCGAGTTGAATGCTTAATGATGCCAAACTACTATTGCTCCATTTGGTTGGGTAATTTCTTGTACTTTTGTGATGTACGGATGTTCTGATTAAATCTGTTCTTTTTGCCCATCAGAAAATGAATCTGCATTTGACCTTCTATATTGCATCACATTCAAGCTGATGGACAACCAATGGCTGGCCATGCACGCATCTTACATGGACTTCAACGTACGTGTTTCTTCCATTACAGTTATTTACCATAATAGAAGTGTCACTGATTCATGACTTCTTCCTTAGAGTTTTTTTATTGTGTGTTTTCAAATTCGTGCTTCTTAAGAAATTTCAGGTAGCCAGATTATCGGTCACTTCAGTTAAATTTCAACCTTCAAGTCCTCTAGCATGTGACCATATGAATGACCTAGTGTTTTCTACATTAGATCACTTACGTCATTGGTGTCTGAACATTTGTTGTGCACTTCATGTTCAAGCCACATGATATTTCTGTTTGATGAGTGTTTAGGTTTGCACATATGGCAAACACCAAGTACAGGAGGGCCTTTGGATGCCATAGGACTTAACTGGCAAACAAGCAAGTGAATTTGAGAATTACTACTAGGAAACAATTTAATTAGAGAACTGCTTATGGTATATCCCTCCCCGCTGATTATAGCTTGTAAATTCGCTCAATAGAAGTTGTTTTGTTTCAGAAAGACAAATGTGTTTGCACTTGGGAATCAATAAAAGGTAATGCCTCTCTTAGATCTCACAATAAGCGGATGGGTACGACTACGACCTAGTTCAGCATTTGTAATTGCCATTATTAACGATGAACCTTGTAATGAATTTGTGTAAGTTGTCTTGCAAAGGCCTCGAAAAACTTCTAAATTTGCCTATGATTAACTTATCTAAAACTTACCTGATATCCAAAACATCCATGTGAACCAATTTTTCTTCTCTCTATTTTTTCGCTATGATTTTCTGCTTCTGCTGTCCTATTTTGGTGTTTTACCTGCAGACGGTGATGAAATCTACTCGTCGTCAGCTTGAAAGGGAGCTTCTGCAAGAAGACATAACACGGCTTGAAGACTTGCCATCTTACAGCCTTCTTAGTCGATAACACAGTAGTGGTAGTGACAGTAAGCAGAAAATTGGATTTCATAAGCATATTGATCCAGGTTGGCATTGGATGCATTATCTTCCATTGCCTCCATCTCTTTCGCTTCTACTCTGTTTTTGATTTCTTGGTGTTCGTCTGTGCTGTGCCCCCGTGTTGTCGATTCTGATTTTATTTCGGAAGGAAAAAAGGAAAGAGAGTTGAGTTGCTTGACTTTGTAGAGTGAGAATGGGTACTTACTGTGTGGATGTGTTGAGGTTTGGAAGAAAAAAACTTCCTGATCTATAAGCGCTGCAGGTAGGTCAAAGTTGGAAATTATTATATTGTTCTTTGTAGTGTCTGAAAAGTGGTAAAAAAATTCGCAAAGACGAAGATTAATATTAGAATTGATTTTGGGAATTTCTAAAAGTAGCTGGAGTGTCGAATAAAGAATTTGATGCTTGGCATTTTGATATCTAATCTTATAGGATCTTATTGTTCTTTCCTTTTTTTCATTGGCTACTTGGTCTTAATCCTATGTTTATGTTACAAACACGTCATCGTGTCGTGTTTGTGCTCTTTTACTTTGGATTTGTGTCCAATTCTTACATATGCTAAATTTGTTTCGCGGTTGTGGATGGTGTGATAAAAATTGTTAGAATAAATTACATCATGGCTCCTAAACTATGATTTTTATGTCAATTCAACCTTTGGAACTCGATTTTATATCGAGTCCTTGAACTACTTGACTTGTAGCAATTTGACCCTTTTGTTAATTTGGCTTTTGTGTCAATTGACCATTTGAACGACGTGATTAATGAAACCCATAGTTAATTCAAAGATTATAATAAATTAAATCTTAATAACATTGTTCTTTGAAATTTAATATTTTTTTTTATGGTGGTTCAATGGGTTTAAAGTGAGAAAAAAATCTAAAAATTATAATTTGAAACATTATGTGTCCTATTTTTGGCTGGGATGATGATTATTTATTTATTATTTTGGGTTTTTTTTTTACTTAGCTTTTTTCGTGGATTGTTAAGCAGGCCATAAATGAAGCAAATCACAATATTAACCGTGTATATATATATATATATATAGAGAGAGAGAGAGAGAGAGAGATCAAACCTCTTTAATCTGTCGAGAGTTCAAAATTGTCCATGACAAAATTGACGTGGTAATTAATAGTAACACAGTTTTACGAGGTAAAATATTTGACTTCAATTCAAACGTCATATTGTGATGGAATAGATTAACACAAAAAAATTAAAAAACAGAAAATAGTAAATTAGAATAGTAATAAGCATCCCTTTGACATTATTCCTGATAAATAGTCATTCATAAAGCTCCCAACCCCAGGCAGGCAACGGAAGCAAATTCTAAAAGGCAGAGGCTTAGAACTCAACCATAGTCGAAAATCTAATAAGCCCACTGAAGGACCAACATAAAACAAACAACACTCAGAAAAAAAAAAGTCACGAGCTCACCAAACTAAAGACANTAGGATCTTATTGTTCTTTCCTTTTTTTCATTGGCTACTTGGTCTTAATCCTATGTTTATGTTACAAACACGTCATCGTGTCGTGTTTGTGCTCTTTTACTTTGGATTTGTGTCCAATTCTTACATATGCTAAATTTGTTTCGCGGTTGTGGATGGTGTGATAAAAATTGTTAGAATAAATTACATCATGGCTCCTAAACTATGATTTTTGTGTCAATTCAACCTTTGGAACTCGATTTTATATCGAGTCCTTGAACTACTTGACTTGTAGCAATTTGACCCTTTTGTTAATTTGGCTTTTGTGTCAATTGACCATTTGAACGACGTGATTAATGAAACCCATAGTTAATTCAAAGATTATAATAAATTAAATCTTAATAACATTGTTCTTTGAAATTTAATATTTTTTTTTATGGTGGTTCAATGGGTTTAAAGTGAGAAAAAAATCTAAAAATTATAATTTGAAACATTATGTGTCCTATTTTTGGCTGGGATGATGATTATTTATTTATTATTTTGGGTTTTTTTTTTACTTAGCTTTTTTCGTGGATTGTTAAGCAGGCCATAAATGAAGCAAATCACAATATTAACCGTGTATATATATATATATATATAGAGAGAGAGAGAGAGAGAGAGATCAAAACTCTTTAATCTGTCGAGAGTTCAAAATTGTCCATGACAAAATTGACGTGGTAATTAATAGTAACACAGTTTTACGAGGTAAAATATTTGACTTCAATTCAAACGTCATTTTGTGATGGAATAGATTAACACAAAAAAATTAAAAAACAGAAAATAGTAAATTAGAATAGTAATAAGCATCCTTTTGACATTATTCCTGATAAATAGTCATTCATAAAGCTCCCAACCCCAGGCAGGCAACGGAAGCAAATTCTAAAAGGCAGAGGCTTAGAACTCAACCATAGTCGAAAATCTAATAAGCCCACTGAAGGACCAACATAAAACAAACAACACTCAGATAAAAAAAAAAGTCACGAGCTCACCAAACTAAAGACGATAAGCTCAAGACATGAAGAAATTTCACTCATAAATCCAAGAGTGAAGGCTGCTCTGCCATTCTGTAACGCCATCTGGGAACCACAGAGCAATCTCCTTCTTTGCATTCTCCACTGAATCGCTCCCGTGAATGACATTCCTGCACGGCAACACGTAATCAATGTATCATAAAGGATTCCAGTGAAATCGAGCTAACATAAGGGGGTGAATTTAAGGACGACAGATTGTCAAAACCTTTCTTCACAGTAGAGCAGTACATTTGATCATGGATTCAAATGCGGCATTACAGGATGAACCAAGAATAGCTAGCCAATGTCAATACACACCTGCCAATGTCAATCGCGTAATCACCACGAATGGTGCCGGGAGCAGATTCTGCAGGGTTTGTTGCTCCAATAATCTTCCTACCTGTTGTAACTACTTTGCTACCTGCCCAAACCATAGCAACGACTGGGCCAGAGATTATGTAATCAACTAGTCCCGGGAAGAAGGGTTTTGCAGACAGGTCTGCATAGTGCTTCTCGGCAAAAGAACGGTCCACAGTTGTGAACTTCAAACCTAAATCCAGAACATTNAATTAATAGTAACACAGTTTTACGAGGTAAAATATTTGACTTCAATTCAAACGTCATATTGTGATGGAATAGATTAACACAAAAAAATTAAAAAACAGAAAATAGTAAATTAGAATAGTAATAAGCATCCCTTTGACATTATTCCTGATAAATAGTCATTCATAAAGCTCCCAACCCCAGGCAGGCAACGGAAGCAAATTCTAAAAGGCAGAGGCTTAGAACTCAACCATAGTCGAAAATCTAATAAGCCCACTGAAGGACCAACATAAAACAAACAACACTCAGAAAAAAAAAAGTCACGAGCTCACCAAACTAAAGACAATAAGCTCAAGACATGAAGAAATTTCACTCATAAATCCAAGAGTGAAGGCTGCTCTGCCATTCTGTAACGCCATCTGGGAACCACAGAGCAATCTCCTTCTTTGCATTCTCCACTGAATCGCTCCCGTGAATGACATTCCTGCACGGCAACACGTAATCAATGTATCATAAAGGATTCCAGTGAAATCGAGCTAACATAAGGGGGTGAATTTAAGGACGACAGATTGTCAAAACCTTTCTTCACAGTAGAGCAGTACATTTGATCATGGATTCAAATGCGGCATTACAGGATGAACCAAGAATAGCTAGCCAATGTCAATACACACCTGCCAATGTCAATCGCGTAATCACCACGAATGGTGCCGGGAGCAGATTCTGCGGGGTTTGTTGCTCCAATAATCTTCCTACCTGTTGTAACTACTTTGCTACCTGCCCAAACCATAGCAACGACTGGGCCAGAGATTATGTAATCAACTAGTCCCGGGAAGAAGGGTTTTGCAGACAGGTCTGCATAGTGCTTCTCGGCAAAAGAACGGTCCACAGTTGTGAACTTCAAACCTAAATCCAGAACATTGTACCCAAATACAGATGTACAATCATATATTCATAAAAATTAAAAATCAGAGAAACAATATAAAACAGATAAATTTACAGGGGGATCAGAGGTATTGCTTCCAGTGGATCATTCCAGTCTGACCTATATCTAGCTAAATCTCCCCACATCAGCATCAAATAACCAAGATGACAATAAATTAGGTCTTTTCTGTTCTATTTTTGGCTTGTCAAATTGGGTCCGATTTATCGCATCATCCTTCCATAAAGTGAGCTAACCTAACAGACTCCTAATGCTTTTACTTGCATATTCCTTCCTAATTATTAGTTTTTTTTGGCACCTTCAACACCCTTTTTAGAATATATACCAAAAGATAGTAAGAAATTTCAAAAAATTTTGACGAAATTGGATCGTAAAAGACCATCAGATCAAGACAACTCCTGGTAAAATTGATCTGGTAAAATGGGATATCATNTCATTGGCTACTTGGTCTTAATCCTATGTTTATGTTACAAACACGTCATCGTGTCGTGTTTGTGCTCTTACTTTGGATTTGTGTCCAATTCTTACATATGCTAAATTTGTTTCGCGGTTGTGGATGGTGTGATAAAAATTGATAGAATAAATTACACCACGGCCCCTAAACTATGATTTTTATGTCAATTCAACCTTTGGAACTCGATTTTATATCGAGTCCTTGAACTACTTGATTTGTAGCAATTTGACCCTTTTGTTAATTTGGCTTTTGTGTCAATTGACCATTTGAACGACGCGATTAATGAAACTTACAGTTAATTCAAAAATTATAATAAATTAAATCTTAATAATATTGTTCTTTGAAATTTAATTTTTTTTTTATGGTGGTTCAATGGGTTTAAAGTGAGAAAAAAATCTAAAAATTATAATTTGAAACATTATGTGTCCTCTTTTTGGCTGGGATGATGGTTATTTATTTATTATTTTGGGTTTTTTTTTTACTTAGCTTTTTTCGTGGATTGTTAAGCAGGCCATAAATGAAGCAAATCACAATATTAACCGTGTATATATATATATATATATAGAGAGAGAGAGAGAGAGAGAGATCAAAACTCTTTAATCTGTCGAGAGTTCAAAATTGTCCATGACAAAATTGACGTGGTAATTAATAGTAACACAGTTTTACGAGGTAAAATATTTGACTTCAATTCAAACGTCATTTTGTGATGGAATAGATTAACACAAAAAAATTAAAAAACAGAAAATAGTAAATTAGAATAGTAATAAGCATCCTTTTGACATTATTCCTGATAAATAGTCATTCATAAAGCTCCCAACCCCAGGCAGGCAACGGAAGCAAATTCTAAAAGGCAGAGGCTTAGAACTCAACCATAGTCGAAAATCTAATAAGCCCACTGAAGGACCAACATAAAACAAACAACACTCAGATAAAAAAAAAAGTCACGAGCTCACCAAACTAAAGACGATAAGCTCAAGACATGAAGAAATTTCACTCATAAATCCAAGAGTGAAGGCTGCTCTGCCATTCTGTAACGCCATCTGGGAACCACAGAGCAATCTCCTTCTTTGCATTCTCCACTGAATCGCTCCCGTGAATGACATTCCTGCACGGCAACACGTAATCAATGTATCATAAAGGATTCCAGTGAAATCGAGCTAACATAAGGGGGTGAATTTAAGGACGACAGATTGTCAAAACCTTTCTTCACAGTAGAGCAGTACATTTGATCATGGATTCAAATGCGGCATTACAGGATGAACCAAGAATAGCTAGCCAATGTCAATACACACCTGCCAATGTCAATCGCGTAATCACCACGAATGGTGCCGGGAGCAGATTCTGCAGGGTTTGTTGCTCCAATAATCTTCCTACCTGTTGTAACTACTTTGCTACCTGCCCAAACCATAGCAACGACTGGGCCAGAGATTATGTAATCAACTAGTCCCGGGAAGAAGGGTTTTGCAGACAGGTCTGCATAGTGCTTCTCGGCAAAAGAACGGTCCACAGTTGTGAACTTCAAACCTAAATCCAGAACATTGTACCCAAATACAGATGTACAATCATATATTCATAAAAATTAAAAATCAGAGAAACAATATAAAACAGATAAATTTACAGGGGGATCAGAGGTATTGCTTCCAGTGGATCATTCCAGTCTGACCTATATCTAGCTAAATCTCCCCACATCAGCATCAAATAACCAAGATGACAATAAATTAGGTCTTTTCTGTTCTATTTTTGGCTTGTCAAATTGGGTCCGATTTATCGCATCATCCTTCCATAAAGTGAGCTAACCTAACAGACTCCTAATGCTTTTACTTGCATATTCCTTCCTAATTATTAGTTTTTTTTGGCACCTTCAACACCCTTTTTAGAATATATACCAAAAGATAGTAAGAAATTTCAAAAAATTTTGACGAAATTGGATCGTAAAAGACCATCAGATCAAGACAACTCCTGGTAAAATTGATCTGGTAAAATGGGATATCATTAGCTGTATCCTGGCTCTTCTACGCTTGACATGGGACAACATTATATCTCACTTGATCACATGGCAGTGAAGTCGCTCAAAAAACAAAAAGAAAACAGTACCTTTCAGAGTGAAACCTTTCTTCTCAAATCTGCCAATAATCTCCCCAATCTGAAACGGATATATCAACACTAAATATATTACAATACTACAAAATGATATGGGTGCAAGCTTGAAAGCCAATGACTATGAGTAATGTTACACAATCCAAATGAAATTCAAAAAATTACAACCCAAATACATATAATTCCTCGGATAAGTGAGTGCATGGGACCGACTAACTCATCCAGGAATGATATACATTTGAGTTGCAATTTTTGAGTTTCATTTGAGTTGTATTGCATTTTCCGATCANAGCAACGACTGGGCCAGAGATTATGTAATCAACTAGTCCCGGGAAGAAGGGTTTTGCCGACAGGTCTGCATAGTGCTTCTCGGCAAAAGAACGGTCCACAGTTGTGAACTTCAAACCTAAATCCAGAACATTGTACCCAAATACAGATGTACAATCATATATTCATAAAAATTAAAAATCAGAGAAACAATATAAAACAGATAAATTTACAGGGGGATCAGAGGTATTGCTTCCAGTGGATCATTCCAGTCTGACCTATATCTAGCTAAATCTCCCCACATCAGCATCAAATAACCAAGATGACAATAAATTAGGTCTTTTCTGTTCTATTTTTGGCTTGTCAAATTGGGTCCGATTTATCGCATCATCCTTCCATAAAGTGAGCTAACCTAACGGACTCCTAATGCTTTTACTTGCATATTCCTTCCTAATTATTAGTTTTTTTTTGGCACCTTCAACACCCTTTTGAGAATATATACCAAAAGATAGCAAGAAATTTCAAAAAATTTTGACGAAATTGGTTCGTAAAAGACCATCAGATCAAGACAACTCCTGGTAAAATTGATCTGGTAAAATGGGATATCATTAGCTGTATCCTAGCTGTATCCTGGCTCTTCTACGCTTGACATGGGACAACATTATATCTCACTTGATCACATGGCAGTGAAGTCGCTCAAAAAACAAAAAGAAAACAGTACCTTTCAGAGTGAAACCTTTCTTCTCAAATCTGCCAATAATCTCCCCAATCTGAAACGGATATATCAACACTAAATATATTACAATACTACAAAATGATATGGGTGCAAGCTTGAAAGCCAATGACTATGAGTAATGTTACACAATCCAAATGAAATTAAAAAAATTACAACCCAAATACATATAATTCCTCGGATAAGTGAGTGCAAGGGACCGACTAACTCATCCAGGAATGATATACATTTGAGTTGCAATTTTTGAGTTTCATTTGAGTTGTATTGCATTTTCCGATCACTATATAGTTCCTGTTGTCCAATCTTTCATCATCAAAGACAAAGCCAATTAAAGTGTGCCAAAGACAGAGACACTTGAATGACTTGGTGAAGTTTTAAGCTTTCTGGTTATCCAGTATTACGGAAAATTCCAAGCTTTTCTTACCTGACGTTTCAGGGTAAACAAACACTAGATCTACGCTAGTTCTCCATAGTTTGAAAGGGGAAAAAGATCCAAACCCAGAAACATTTATGATGTGTTCCTAAAATTTTCAATTATAACAAAAAATTCCAAACCCAGAAAAATTTATGATGTGTTCCTAATATTTTCAAACACACCAGACGCAAGAAATAATTTCATCTAATTTTTTTCTCACACTTCCTCTCCAACCAAACAGAACAAATCTGGGATTCACAGAAAAAGAACAACCACCCAGAAACAGATCACTAACAAAACCAAACAAAAAAATAGAATCACACACAGAGAACAACGAAGACTGAAAATAAAAAGAAAACAAGCTTGATGTGGATGGGAACGAACGAACCAGTCCTCTTTGGACACCATCAGGCTTGATCATGATAAATGTCTGCTCCATTTCTTCGTTCTGTGATGTTTTCAATCTCTCGCAGCACTGAGCCTTTTGGAGTTTTTAGGGTTTGAAGTTCTGATGAGTGAGAACTGAGAAGACGAGGGGATTTTGTATATATTTGTGTGGCCTCTAGAACGCAAAACCCTAAAGGCCACTCAATGGAACATTCGATCCGTAAAACCTTGCGATTTTTCGACTAGTCCACAGGGTCACATGTGTGGGGGTCGGGTCGGGTCGATTCATATATGGGTGGGTTTACAAATATGAGCTAGGCCGCTAGAATGGGCTTTAGTTGCGTATCCCTAATGGGAACCAATGGGTGCTATTAACCCAAAAAAAAAAAGGCCTTTTTAAAGACCCGCNTCACATGTGTGGGGGTCGGGTCGGGTCGATTCATATATGGGTGGGTTTACAAATATGAGCTAGGCCGCTAGAATGGGCTTTTGTTGCGTATCCCTAATGGGAACCAATGGGTGCTATTAACCCAAAAAAAAAGGCCTTTTTAAAGACCCGCCCTTTGTAGTGATTTTTTTGTCATCAAGTCAATGCGCCATTTTTTTTGGGTTGTCGAGGATAATTATAGTCATAATTATTATTTTATTTTTAATGACATGATTAACGATATTACAAAATAGACAATAACAGTGAAACACATTGACAATAACAATGACACAGTGATAATGTCACTGTCCAAATTCCACGGAACTAAATAGTCATAGTAATAGTGATAGTGATAATGAAATTTAATTGATACTATTCATTGTCATCATTCAAATTCTACTTGACAATGATTAAATTTTCATTCATGCATTTCTTCGAAAACCATTTGGGCACAGCATATAAACCGAAGAATGTAACTGTCTCATTTTTTACTCTTCCCAATTTGGATGTGTTGATGTGTCACTATGTTATTGAATGCAAATGTCTTATTTTTTACTTTTCCGAAATGCATAAATGAGATACAAATCAACTCAAAACTTTAAAAAAAATCTACGAGCAAGGAATTTTTATTGTCACGTTCCAAAATTTGAGGTGCAAATTTGAAACAATTTTTACTCAATATGAAAGAAATTCTATACAATTTAGTCGATCGTCACTAAGAACACATTTTTTTTGTTTGAGTAACTTGAGTTTGAAATGAAATTTGAGTTATTAAGAGCGTGTTAGAATTTTTGGAAAGAATTTTAAAAAAGTGTTTTTGAAATTTTTTATATTACAAAACCTATTTGATTATATATTTTTGAAAATAGTATTAAAGAACATAAAATAATAAAACATGTTTGGATAATCATCAACAAAACCCTCACTCCAATTTTTATCTTCACTCCTGCACTTTCTCTCTCCAACCCTCTCTCTTTCTTTTTCCTTTCTCTCTTTCTCTCTCTCTTCATTATCTTCTCACACACACACACTTACCTACACATATTGCACAAGAAGCACACACACTCACGTAACAAACGCGCACACACACACACACACACACACTTTCACACACATACCAAACCCTCAAGAAATAGTGTAGTACTACCTCTCCTAAAAGAAAATGATTCGTAGTGACTCAGTAAAAGATAGGCTAAATCTTCGCATGCGTCGTTTCAGTAAGTGCAACATATCGTCCACCATTTTGTATGTGTAACACCGCACAGGTGGTAATTTTCCATTACTTTTGTAGTCAAGTAGTGTGCCAATGAGGAATTTTGATGCATCCTCCGTAATGATTGAGATCTTCATTTACAACTACAACCATACCATTTACTTATTAAGAGAACTATAATTTGCATCATTTATGCATAATAGTATGATGACAGCAATGACAGTCATACATTTTCTACCAATTCAACATTTATACACAAAAGTTATATGTACTAACAACAAGATAGATGCAACGTATTCGCCAAATATATAATATAAAAATTTAGGCAAACTAAAAGTACCACATTCATTACATGCGAGCAACATAGTCTAATGTTCGTCATAAGATTTGTAGGGTGTTATTTTAACAACATAAAGTTAGCAAATTCTCCCCATAGTAGAGTAAACAATATGGGTGAGTACGATATCCAAAATGAGCATGGTTACACTTCTCATGCACAAAATGAGATCACGTTTGTAGCCATTTGTTCCTATTGGAAGAACAAGTGCTTCGTTAATGTTCCTACCACCATCTTGAGTTATATTCTCCAAAGGTGCAGGCGCATGGAAAACCATCGCATTTGGTACATCTACTTCCTGCCTCGCAGCGTGCATGGCAAATGCAATTTTCGCCTTACTATATGAATCATAAGATTTGTACAATGCACCTAGATACATATTGATATGCACATGACATTCCATCCATGACTCGTAAATTCCAACTTGTCTACTAATGAATACAACGTACCAATGTTGCTTCCTGTTCATAGCTAATTAGACAAATTTCATTTAGTTACTCATATTCAATGTCTATTAAAGCACTTGAATTAAATGATGAACCATTCAAGAATAGCAACATACAATTCCATATTGTATAACCTACAATTACCAAAAGCACCATAAATAATATGTATTTAACACAACCAAACCTCATGGAAGTGTAAATTAACCCATATATTACATGACATAATATAGCTAAATAAGTCGCATATTGCTTACATCAATAAAATGAGTCAGCCATGACCAAGTCATATCATATGCAACCAAAAGATACCAACACAAGCATTAACACCATTTATAATTGTTAAGCTTAATACATTAAACTTCATGATTTTAAGCTTTGAAACACCAACACCATTTACTTCTACACCCACCACATATGATTACCATAAAATCCAAAAAATACCAACATATTAACAAAATGTCTTTCCTACCATACAATGATCAAAATGTCCAAAAATTTTGATCAATGTTGTGGTGTGTGCCACAATAGTCCACCAACTCATGCAGAGCACTCATAATCGGGCAAGATGAAGAAGATGTCCACATTTACTAGATCAGAACAAATCTTAAAACGTTCAGTATGTCGATCAACCATTGATATACCATTTATCTTCTCAAGTTCCGTGTTCACTCTTCTGTGTGTATCAGCAACATCATGCATATAGCCAACTCGATGTGTTATCATGTCTAGCTGCTTACAACTTTCTTAAACATATTCACCAAATACCTTTGAGATGTCTCCCAAATTTTTTGCAATCTACTCAGTTGCATTATCACTCATCTTCGCTTTTTTTTTTTTCTTATTTGAACATGGGGAGGCAACACTTGGTTTAATATGAGGTGGTTGTTTACCTCTATGTGTTGCATTATTTGACGTTGGTACATTACCAGGTACAAACTAGTTTACTAAAACTAAATATGGCACAACGCCAAAAAAAAAATGAAAACCACAATAATTATTACAATTTTTCCCAATATCGAAGATGTGTGTGTGCTTAGGATAATATGTGTTTGTGACTGTATCCCATGAGCATCGTGTAGGAGTGTGTGTGTGTGTGACTACACTTACTATGTTAGCGAATCAATTTTTCTTTTTGTCTGTTGGGTATGAGATCACACTAAATATACGCATACACACACACACAAAGCGAGAGAAAGATCGAAGAGGTAGCAAATCACACTAATTAAATATACACCCCCCACACACAACGAAAAAGAAACTGAAGATAGAGGTGATTATAAATGTCTGTGTCTGTTTTACTCTCTTCTGTGTGTCTATGTTCATACTTTTAGGACGAACCATTTTTGCTGGGTAGAGCAATATACAGAGACAGAAGTAGAGAGGAGGTATACAGAGAGAGCGAAAGAGATAGACAGAGAAACTGAGAGAGTCTTGGTGGGGAGGAGGAAAGCACAAAGTAATTGGTTCTAAAATAACCAAGATACACCCATATAAATTAGAGAGAGAGAACGATGAACCCACAACAGAGACACAAATCTATACACCGACAAATAATAGAGATAACGATACACTATTATTTGCAATATATATATATATAGAGAGAGCATACCTTGCCAATGGAGACCACTTTGACGTTGTTCCGATTAGAACGAAAATCCTAAGAGCTGTTGATAGTGCATATGTATCGAATATAAAATTTATTCTTTTAATACCCTACAAGGTGGAATTAGGGTTTACCTTCGAGATTCCTCGAGATTGTTCTCGTCTTAGCACAAACGCAGAGCATAATCAACAAGCAACTGAAGGACAGCTCAATGAACCTTGCGACCTTATGCCATATATCCCCAAACATCAAAATTCGGATGCAGTGTGGACTGCCAATACCTCCAAATCCTTGCTCTCTCTTTCAACCTCTCTAAAAAATGTGAGTAAAGAATAGATGCTGAATAAGAGAGCTTAAACATCTATATATAGGCTACGACAGAGATCCTAAGGAGAAATAAGGACTGAGCTTCCATTGGGCTTAAGAATCCTATGTTCAATCCAAAACAAACATCCTACAAGCTATTAATAATAAGTCAATCCACTAAAGACTTATTATTAATCTCTTGAGTCTTATTTCAAAATTATATTTGAGCTCCTTATTATGATATGCTTAATAATCTTCCCACGTTTAAGATTATAGATGTCTATCAATTAAATAAATTATTGACAATTATATTTAATTGACTTTTTTTATTCCTTGAGATCTTACTATACTCAACTTATTTGTCATGTCAAATAATTAAATCTACCTACAGGACTTGACATAGACAAAACTTATGAGTTTTCTCAAGAGAACATCATCAACCCATTTAAAATACTAGGATGTGGTTTTCTTTAATATTTAATTTTCACAATACAAATAACATCGTCTCCCAATTCACCGAGTTTATTGACTCAATATGAATTTCACCCTTTGATGAATTAAAGTATTAAACATTAAATGCATGTGACAATTAAATATTTTGAGTTTAAGAGTATAAACAATTATAATAATCATGAAGTATTTATTATCTTATTGAATCAGTAAAAGATAATAATCTTAATATGGGTCTGTTCAATACACAAAGCGTACTAGTCCAATAATTCGAGACATCAAACAATCTCCTACAATCAATACAGACTATGCCAGAATATTGCACTACAATCATGTCAATGGTGTGTCCAATTTCATCTAGGATTGTGAACATATACTCATATTATACAAGTATCCAATAATCTGGTCATCTGTGTATAAGTCAAACT